ACAAATGTTTGATTTGTAAAAAGGTGAATGAACAAGCTGTCAGGAAACAACAGATGGGTGGGAGACCACCAGCTTTAAGTCCATTTCAATGTATTCATGTGGATTTTACAGAATTACCAAAAGTGGGGAGAGTAAAATATTTATTGGTCATAGTGGACCACCTCACAGGGTGGGTTGAAGCTTTTCTCTGCAGTAATGATACAGCAACAGTGGTGTCAAGAGTTTTACCCAACCTAGAAAGATTACCATCATATGAACTGTTGTTTGGAGTAGTTTTCACTACAGGAAGCATATGCATTGATTCCCTGGAAACCAGAGACTAAGTATTGAAACAATATGTGTATAAACTGTCCAGATATTTTAAAGTTTTTAGGAAACAAGGATTATTAGCCCAAACACCACCTTTGAAGTTTCCAGTCCATAAATTCCACCACAATGATTGGATGTTGATCCAGAGCTGGAAGGAAGTTAAACCCCAAGTGAAAGGGCCTGTGCCAGCCCCAAAGGAGTGGAAGGTGGAATCTCACCAAGGAGATCCATTGAAGTTGACGATCCAAAGAACCCAAGGAACTGGTGGGCAGCAACCAGTGGGAATAGCGTTCTTCATCATCTGGACTATTTTTGTATTTTTTTCTTTCTTAGGATTGAGTGGTTGCCTATGCTGTTTCCCAACTGAAGAGGACTACAACTGATCAGATTCCTTTGCGCACTCTCCCAGATGTATTGGTTTTGTAATTGTGCTTTTAAGACCTTAGAAGGAAGATCCTGGATCCACTGGATGAGATTGAAGCCTGCAGACCAGAGTGATCCGGTCACATACCAGGTAACAAAACCTGACAGGCCATTGGTGCGGAAGTTCAAGAAGAATACACCCTGCTGAATCCTACCGGCAACGGACTCTCAATGCACGGTGGTGATCGTCAGCCTTGCTGAACCATCCTGGAAGCTGGGTCCCAGCGCACGGTCGAAGCTTGGAATGGAGGAAGAAAACATTCCATGACTGTAGTTTGTAATGTAAAATCCATTAACTGTAATAGAATCCAGTGTGCACTACTTAAAGACACTCATGCTAGAGGAAGATTGGGTGTGGGGACTCTGGGCAACAGCTACTTTAGCCCTTCTGTTGGTATTGTTTTAATACGATTGATATTGCCTACCCCAAGTTACGCATATCCCTAACCCTCTTCTTGACATGGTGAATTTGTAAACTATGGGTCTTGCACTCTTAAGGCCTTGTGGGTGTTCAAGAAATTCCCCTTGTCCCTGTAGAAGGAATTAAAGATGTCAAGAATCCCAGGGGAACAAACAGCATCAGGACACTGAATGGGGACCCTTTGGGTCAAGTCCACTCCCGCCAACAACGTAGTATCAGAAGGTGGAGGGAAGCCTTAGACCTAAACCAACTCCTAGACCTGGGATCAAGAGTTTAACAATCCCGGTAGAGGGGGGAATAGAAAAGGAGAACGGGCCCCCTACAACAATTGAAAAGAGGAGATTGCATATCAGGGATACTGGAATTGGGTCGAAACCTTGTTAAATCATAGGGTCACCTTCCCTGTGTGTAAAGAGACATCAGAAACCTGGTAGGCCTATAGGATCCCTGATAAAAGAACAATGTCCATCAGTAGTGTACCTTGGTCCTAGAATGAACCTTAGGGATGTAAAACTAACCAAAGATCTTTTTCCTTCTGCACACCACTCACTTTCTCCTCACCACCAACTGCCATCATCACAAGATGGGGAGGGTGGAAGAGGTCCTGGAAGGTATCCAAGGAAAGGTGCACTAGTCTGTTCTAGCCCTCTCGCTTCACTATCTGGCTCTCCATTAGATCCAACACAGGTTTATGTGTCTTCTTTCCCCCTGGAATACTACCTCCCGGTATCTTTTTGAAGGACCAATCCTCAGAGATAAACAAAAGGACCCTTCACTAGAAGTCCCATTGCAACCACTGGCAGGAATGTTTGTGGCAGGGACTTTGGGGGTCTGGACTAATGAAAACTACCGTAGGATCCATGCTTTCTCCATGAACATAGGAGGTATGTGTGTATTTCTGGGAGAAGACTGTTGTTTCTATATGAATAAATCAGGGATGGTCAGAGAAATTGCCAAGGAATTGCAGGATAGGGCATCCAAGATAAGTCAGAGGTTATAAACAACTGACATGTGGTTTTCTTGGTTGCCTGGATCCGGGTGGATTAATATGGCTGTGGCAGGCCTAGCTTTTATTCCTTGTGCAATCCCTATGCTGAAACAGCTATCAATAAGAGCAGTAAAGGAGATACAAATTGAAAAGGAACTAGCTTTGGCAGAACATTTTCTTAATCAACTTGGTCCTTATCCTGTGGAAGAACATAAAGGTTCTGAGGCAGACCCATATGAGGAAATGGAACCTGTAGAAAGAGGGAGAGAATCTCCCCAAGAATCAAGAGAGTAAAAACAATCAAGAACTACCTATCCTTTACTTTTATTAATTATATTTTGTTAGACCCTATATATGGTAGATTTGTTTATTGGAACCTTGTATACTCAGAAGTTAAACTTATATGAGAATAGTGAAAGTTTCTGCCTTGAAAAACTTTCAGAGGGGGGAATAATGTAAATGAAGCGGGCTCTGATAGATGACCACTGGATAACTTTCTATTCACTCTATTCTAAAAAGCAATGCATCCGGTTGGAGAAAGTACAAATTCAGCCAAAATCCTTTTGGTACCTCTAGGAGGCCTCTAAGTTGTCAGAAGAAAGGAACATTCTAATGACATACAGCTTAAAGGTTGGTTAGGTCAAGGGGATCCACATGAGTTAAAAGTTGTCTATCATCAGAAGATAATTTGAATCTATGCTCCAGTAATTTACAGAAGAATTATGATTGTTTGGCAAGAATAATATGAAACTTTAGTAATTAGGAAATGTCAATTAAATATAACAAATGTATATGACCATATAAACTGCTGAGTTAACAGAATCCTTTGTTTGAAAATGTATAAAACTGGGGTCTCAGGATCATAAAGTTGTTCAGATTTTTTGGTACGCATACCTCTCTGAACCTATTGCGCAATAAACTGGCTCTGGCTGACCTAGGAATGTTATTTGGTCTCACCATTCCACAACATGGACACAGTCTAGCTAAGACTGCCTTCTTGTACACATTTAACTATATCTCCTGTTGCTTTCAGGCAGAGGAGTATTAAAGGTATAAATGCCCAGGTAGTAGGTGATGGATCTCTGGCATTCTGATTGTAAAATGATGGTTGGCATCTTTCTTGATGTTTACTTATTTTCTTTTTAATGTTCTTTTTATTGTTGTTTTATTGTATCAGCTGCCAAAAGTTGTAACAGATTGGAACGGCCTAAATCAACTAACTAACTAACTAACTAACTAACTAACTAACTAACTAACTAACTTGTTGGCAAGGGAGGGTCGAGCAAAGAGAAGGAAGGAATGGCAAAGACAGAATTAATTTAAACATGACTAAAGTTTATCTTTGTCCAGTCAACCACGCTTGGTTAAAATGAAGTTAAGTTTCTTTTGCAGTAAAGCAAATTGCAGTAAAATTGCTTTACTTTTGTAGTAAAGCAAATTGTGGATTTTTACCATAAAATAGTATTTAGCTGTGACTAGTACATTCTTGTTCTGAATATTTATTTGTTATTCAAATGGCATCCCATCTTTCAGTCCATAGGAATGAAAAATAGAAATAGAAATAATAAAACATTGAAAACTTCCAATACGGGCAGTCCTTGACTTACAACAGATCGTTTAGTGACCATTGAAAATTACAACTGCACTGAAAAATGTAATTTATGACAAATTTTCAGAGTTAGGACTTTTGTAGCATCCCCACGATCATATGATCAAAATTCAGATGATTGGCAATTGACTCATGTTTATGATGGTTGCAATGTCCTGGGGCCACGTAATCCTCTTTTGCCATCTTCTGCTGAGCAAACTCAATGGGAAAGCCAGATTTCACTTAACAACAGTTTGACTAATTTAACAACTACAGTGATTCACTTAACAACTGTAGCAAGAAAGGTCATAAAATGGGCCAAACTCATTTAACATTTTACTTAGCAACAGAAATTTTGGGCTCAATTGTGGTCGTAAGTCAAGGACTACCAGTACAAGTAAGATCAGAATTATTGTTGTGGAATAATTAGACCAACACAACTTTTCTAGGTTAGTCAGAGACAGTGTATTGTGCAATAGGTTCAAAGTTTGTACATGAAACTTTGAACAAAGACAGAACTTAGTTACAATGGTTTTATACCCTTCTAAGACAAAGGATTCTGTTAACTCAGCAGTTTTATCATTGCAGACATTCGTTACATCAAATGACATTTTTCTAATTATATTATCTTTGCCAAACAGTCATAATTCTTCTTGTAAATCACTGAAGCATAGATTCAAATTATCTCTTGTTGATATTTCATGTGGTCATTCTTGGTCTCTTTAACCTTCAAACTGTATATCACCAAATGTCTCTATCTCTGACAACTGAGGGGCCCCTCTTGTAGAATGTTTCTACTTCAAAGGAATTTCTCATTATCTTTGTACTGCTTCAACTGGATATAATTGCTTCTCTCAAACAAGCACATTTTCTTTCTTACAATACTATGAATAAAGAGAGCCCTTCAGTGATCATCCAGCTGGACCCGCATTACCTACATTATTATAATCAGTATAAAAATCAGTCCTAAGAACAATTAAAAATGCAGTGGAAGAGATAAAATTTAGCCACATGGAAAAAGTTTCTTCACCAAGAAGCCTCTCTTCCACATGTTGTATCAGATATCCTTCTGCGGTAGTTACACCTTTTAAGCTTAAGCTTACACTGTAGCTTTAATCATTTATTTGCCCAAATATGGGGTTTTTTGCTTACATTATATGAATGCAGAATTTTTTTCCTCAGAACCTAAACCCGGTGAATTTTATTCTGTTGGCGAATCAAGTCCACGTTTGTTCAGATTGTGGGATATCAGCCAGAAGATTTTCAGCCTGATGGGTGACAATAAGTTAGTAGCAAGTCCAAATGATTCAAATTCAAAAGGTAAAAAAAAAGAGCCCTTTTAAAAACAAAAACAAAACTGAAACAGTTCTATCCTTCTTTGGCCAAAATGATTAATGAAACATCTCTGATGTCCAGAATTGACAATGGAGATGTCAGAAATAACTGCCTCCTGGTAACCAGTTTGGTAAAGCTGCCCTGAATTCTTGGTTCAAAGATTTACTGTGGAACGTTTCATACTCTAAATCTGGGTCCCCAGCATTCTACATGTGTTCCTCTGTGTGCCTTTAGATACTTAGATTCTTTAGATGTTTGAATTCAGAAAATTAAATAACTAGATAAATCCACAGGGGATAGATTGGTACTGGAAAGTAATCTTTCCATTCTGTGTTCTAATTGTTAGAAGTAGAAATATACACTACATTAAATTTTTGGTATTGAAATGCTGCCATGGAAAGAACCATAGTATTTCTCAGAGTTCCAAATTTCTGTCAGATTCAGATGTTCCTACAAGAAATCAGAAGGAGTCTGGTGGCACCTTTTCCAATTAATACATCTTATAAAAAAGCATAAGCTTTCATGAACTGTAGCTCAGGTGCATAAAGTAGCTAAACTGATGTACCTCTGTTCATTTCTGCATCTATAAAGTGAACCATTGACTTCTAAAACTGCTATGCCTTTTAGTAAAATTGTTCGTTAGGAAGGTACAAGTAAACTGATTCTTTGTTACCACTGATTAATACAGATCTCTCACAATATCTAGAGTGAGAGATGTGCCTATAAAGGCCTTATCTCAAGTTGAGGACTTGTAGTTCTTCTATTTTTTCTTGTTTTGGTATTCTTATTCTTAACCTGGCTTCTCATCCAAAACATCCCAACTAATAGAAAAAAAACCCCATGCCATTTTCTCTTGTCCTCTTATTCTGTTTCTTCCCGTGATCCTTTTCCAGAGCAGTTGATTGCTGTGCTTCCTAATAATGCTCTAGATCAGTGGGTCTCAACCTTCCTAATGCCGCGACCCTTTAATACAGTTCCTCATGTTGTGGTGACTCCCAACCATAAAATTATTCCTAAAAAGGGGCTGCTCCTAAGCCTACCATTCTGCCTTTGTTCTGACTTGCTGCAGGGAGTTTCAAAATATCCTGTCTTGAATGGATTTCTGCCTGCAGTATTTGCTTTGCTTATGGATAGAGCTATCTATATACTTGTCTTCCTCTTTCAATAAGCTCTTTATCTCTTAAGTGCTGGCATCTGCTGTGGACTATTAAAAAAAACCTTGAGGGCTGCTTCCTGCTTCTAAAAACATGTTTCTCCATTTTTCCTTTAGGGAAATATAATATTTTACCTTTTTTAATATTTCTCAAAATATTTCATTTTGGGGGGGGAGGCGCTTCCCACACAGCCATGACTTCTTTCTAATGACGCTGTCTATTAAAGCCTTCCTGTTTTTAGAGTGGAGACATTATGTATCTATACAAGCAAAATGAGAAGTTTTTGAACTTCAGTTTTTACAGCAAGACTGATGGCAGCCGAGATACTTGCTCTTTTGAATCTGCACAGTTCCCTGGATGGTTCCTAAGTACTTCTTCTGAAGCACATCAACCTATTGGTTTGAGTCAAAAAGGAGGTCCTGAAAACATCCTGTTTCATTTTCAAAGAATATACTGAGTGCAGAAGTTTTATTTTCAAAGAGAGATAGAGAAGTTTGTTTTGCTCTATTTTATATGTGATAGAAATATTTTTTGGCTTTTGGGTTTTTTAAAAAAAATAGATTGTGGTTGTGTTAAAGAAGCAGAAGGTGGGAGCAGAAGTAGAGATAGATAACAATTTGCCTGATCCAAAAAATCTGTTGTACTTGGTGATCTTTTGAAGAAAATACCATAAGGGTTGAACCAAAAATCCTCAGGCCAGCCATGACACTTGTTATGTAAACATGGTAGAGATATCTTCACCTCACAAGACTTAGAAAAGGATGGCTAAAATATTATTGACTTGAAAACATGAGGGAACAGACATAGTGTTTAAAGCTTGGGGTCAACATTTTTATAGGAGTTGATCTAGTGTCTGTAAAGGAATCCTTCCTGAGGCTGTGGCTAAGGGAGAACAAAGATTTGAAACTTGATACTCAATGCTTTGTACAGCTCTGCACTATATAGACCTGCAAAAATGGGTTTCTTGATGGGGATGGAAAAACACCCATCAAGAGAGAAAGTAATAATGAACTAATAAAACCACTATAAAACAAAAATGTTGGAAGTCAATGTCTGGTTTTCTGTGAATTTTATTTAGATTTTTTTAAAAAAGGGAATGCACACTCACCTAATCCTATCTCTTGGAGGCAGATAAAAGTGAAAGGACTTGCTTTCTTCCAAAAACTTTTCCTTCTTTATTAAACAAATTTATCTAGTTGCCCAACTCACACAGAGACTCTGGGCATGTTACAAAATTTAAAAAACCCACCATTATAATAAAACCCCATAACCCCCAACCACCATGGCACAATCAAATCAGCCACTTGATCTGTTCCATCTCCAGCGTTCCCTCCATTTTCTGGTAGATTCACTATAAAATCCATAGCGATTTCCTCCAAAGGTTTGGTTGGGTCAGCCACCTGCTGCAATAGTCTGGGGGTCTTTCCTGGCTGTTGTTTTACAGTCTTCAGATATGCCAGGTTTTTGTGATCTATCCACACTTCAAAAGGGACTTTGCTGTCTTCTAGGAACATGTTAGCAGGGCCCAATGAACCACGAAAATATCTTTCTCCCACACTGCCCAGCGTCTTTCAGTTTCCTTTAATTTGCAGGACATACAGGCACAGGGTTGCAACTTTCCCCCTATGTTCTTGTGGACCAGGACTGCCACCACTGCCATATCGCTAGTGTCCACCTGTATTATGAGTGGTTCATCTGGGTTTGGGTGTTTGAGCACCAGCTCGGCTGCAAAAGGCTGTTTGAGTTTCTTGAATGCCATCTGGCATTCCATAGTCCAGTTTAGTGGCTATCTGGGCTTAGGCTTCACTCTGCCTCCCCCTGTCTTGAGCAACTCTGTGATTGGCAAGGTGATCTGAGCAAATGAGGGAATAAACTACCTGTAAAAGCTCCTGCAGAAGAGGTGACACATGTGCAAGTCTAAGCTTCTGCCACTGGATTTAGAACTAACTGAAGCTTTTGAATGCTCTTCAGGGGTGTCCCCAAGAACCTATTACAATAGTCTAGATGGGATGTGACTAAGGTGCCTGAGAGAAGAACACATGGCCTAAAAATGGGCATACCTAACACACAACAAAAAGTTGTGCAAAGCCCTCCTGGAGATAACTGCCATTTATTCCTCAAATAAGAACCTCAAATCCAGGAGAACCCTGGATTATACACTAGATCAGCCTGGGTACAACCCATCCATGAACAAATACACCAGATATACCTGGTGGGACCCAGAAGAAGGGCCTTCTCTGTGGTGGCTCTCTCTCTCTCTGGAACATCATTCTAATCTCCCAGAGATTAGAACAGCCGCCACTCTAACACTGATCTGGAAGATTTTGAAGACCTGGTTCTGCCAATGGGCCTTGGGAACAGGATGAAGCCCATTAAATGGCTTGTGTGATCTGCTGTTGCCGAAGTGGGGGTGGTGATTCTATTCTATTCTATTCTATTCTATTCTATTCTATTCTATTCTATTCTATTCTATTCTATTCTATTCTATTCTACTCTACTCTACTCTACTCTACTCTACTCTACTCTACTCTACTCTACTCTACTCTACTCTACACTACTCTACACTACACTACTCTACACTACACTACACTTTTTAAGCAAGTAAAAATGCTTTAAGAAAGTAAAAAAAGGCTCTGACGATCACAGCTCTGCTGCATGATCGTCAGAGCCTTTTTTTAACTTTTAAAAATAGGTAGTTAAAAATGCTTTTAAAAGTAAAAAAAAAGGCTCTGAAGATCACACGCCACAGCTGATCACCCCCCCGTGAGCGTTGTTCTACTCACCCCATGACTCCTTTTGTGTGCATTTGGTGCATAGTGCGTACTGTGCATGCATGTGGGCTATGCACACATTTGGCACACAGCACTCAGCACTCATGCACAGCCAGTGAACCAATAGTAAACCAGTTCAGATTTCACCACTTTACTATACTATTCTATGCTATGCAATGCTATGCTATACATTATTAATTTATTTGATTCTTTTTATTAGTTTTATTGTTTTAAATGAGGTTTTATATTCTGTAAGCCATCTTGAGTTGCTATGGGCGAATAGGTGGCAATATAAATCCAGCCATGAATGGTGTGCATGGGCTTTTAATGTTTTTAAAATGTTTTTATAATGTTTTTAAATAATTTTTCTATGTTCATTGTTCGCATTATTTTTGCTGTAAGCCGCCCAGAGTCCCTTGGGAGTCGGGCGGCATAGAAATGCTATAAATTAAATTAAATTAAACAAACAAACAAACAAATATGAAAATTCTCCAAGAGCCAAAGAGCCCCTAACTCAGAGCCGCTCCATATTGCTAGGATTCAGTTTTAGAAAAGGCAAAACAAAGCATTGCTTAACTCATGATGGGCAGAGATGTACAGCTGAGTATCATCAACATACTGATGATATCTGATGCCATGGTGACGGATGACCTCCCACAGCAGTTTCATGTAGGTGTTAAACAGCAGCAGAGAAAGAAGCAAAGGCCAGGGAACTGACCTCTCTCCTCTGATCAGTGCTGACTGAGATTGGCCCCAGAGGAAGAAATGAACCAGGACAACACAGTGACCTCCATCCCCGATCCCTGAAGCCATTACAGCGGATGTCATAATTGATGGTATCAAAAGTCACTGAGAGATCAAGTAGAGTGAAATTGGATGCACTACCCTCCCATCTCATTTCCATTGTGTTACTGCCATTAAGATTCCCCCCACCCTTTCATCATCTTCTGGTCCAATTCCCAAGTGGTATCAATAGATCCCTGTAATCTCCCACTACTGGAGGTGCATTTGTGTGAAAGAAGGAGGAAACAAACCAGCCTTTGGGGAAAAGAAAGGTGCGGTTTGTCTATCCGGTTAGGTTGCATTCCACCCACTTTCTCTTCTCCGAAGTGAGAAGCAGGATCTGGGGAGGAGAAGGAAGAGAATACGGTTGACTAACACTCTGAAAGACACATGCTGTAGATGGGTGCAGTGCCGGGAAAAAAATGGATGTCTCCAACTGTGACCTCGATTTGCATGTCTTGGCTGCTTTCAACATCGAATTGCTAGATTGTCAGTAGAAGCATGAAAGGAGGGCAAGAATTTCCCGCAGTAGGTGCAGCATTTTCCATGAGTATCATGAAACTTCATCTTGGAGAAAATCTAGCCGAATTTGTAGGATGATGCTCAAACAGACATGAAGCATCTCTTTCCTATTTGAGATATTAGCCATTAAGGGGACTCTCAGGCCAATAAACTCAAAGTCAATGAATTAAGGAATGCAGTTGGAAGACTTCTACCTATTTGTGACCTTTTTATTTTAGGTAATATCATGTCCAGTTCATGTGGAGCTTGCAATGCCCCATCTTTAAAGCCCTTTATTTCATGTGTTAAGGAGAATTTAATCTTTCCCCTCAAATCACTCCTAAATATTGAAATATGAATTACAGTTTGAAATGCAGTGCAGCAGATCCTGGGTTGTTTACTCAACTCTTGTGAGTAATTTGAGCAGGACAGATGTGATGTCATGCATTAGTTGAAGCAATGTCAGGGTGTGTTAACCTTGATTAGGAGGCATCAGCCGTTGGGGATAAGCAATACTGCAGAGTTAGGAAATTTTGGATAGACGGATGTAGTGATAGATGATCTCTGACAGTAGTCATGAGGTTAATTCCCAAATCATCCATGGGCACATGAGGTAACACCCTCTGATAGATATAAAATCTTATGTCAGTTCTAGAGATGAACAAACAGAAGGAATCTCCACCCCAAGAAGGAACATCTCCACAGGTATTGTCACCTGATTTATGGGGCTAGACTACCTGCTCCTAGGAGCAACTATCTATAGAGCAGAGGACATTTCATTTTCTGTCCAAGAGTCATTGATTTTTTTGGTACAATGGGACTAGATCAGTGGTGGGTTGCTACCGGTTCTGTCTGCTTCTTACAAACTGGTAGTAAAAGTGGCGGGAGGCTCTGCCCACCTGTCCAGACATCATAATGGACGATCTGCGCATGCGCAGAAGCATGTGCACGTGTGCACTCCCATTGCAAAATGGTAGTAAAAGTAAGTATAACCCACCCCTGGACTAGATGATAAAATTTTCTTTTTAAGAAAATTACTTCGGAGAAGCCCTTGTATTTAATGGTTTAACTATATTTAGCTTGGTTTTCTATTTCACACTTTTAAAAAACATCTGTATGGCTTGTTTATATTTGTTCTGATTCTATTTTCCTTTCTTATATTTCAAGAGGTTTTTTTTAAAAAAATAAAGCAGGGATATAACTTATTAATGAATGAAGGTGAATATATATGTCCCAAGATAATGTTGCAGCATCCAATCTGGGTCGGTCAACGGGACTAGAGGTTTTCCAAGTCTTGCTTGGAAGATAAAAACTCTGGTCTTGGATCCTTATTAAAACCAGGTCTGGTAAGTTTGGGGGGAAAAAAAGACTAACTTAAAAAAAAAAAATACAGCTCACAACACATTTTATAGTAAGTTAACACACACACTGTTTTTTTGAAATCATAAGAAAAATTAAGAACTTTATGACACCAAATAATAATCAAAGAGCTTGAGTTTCCAAATGCATTAGACTGGTAAGGAAATCTGAAGTCTCTTGCCACCGAGCAATATTCAAAGAACTTTGAAAATTTTTATTCTGGAATGACAGGATTCAAAATGTCTTAATAAACTCTCATTCACTACTCTCAAAAGAATTGCTGTAGTGAATAAATCTAGTTTGAATGGGTATACTATAAAGAAAAATAATGAGCAATAATTAATAATCCTAATTTTGATGGTGGCGATGGTTTTATTTGGTTTGGGTTTTGTCTTTTCAGAAGAGGGGAAATTGTAGCACCAGATTTGGAATTTGGAATTTTGTGGGGAAAGTAGGCTTGGAATACTAGGATGCTATACAGTTTCCTAAATTCCTATAAGTGTGCATCTTGATCATTGATATCTACCTTCTGTTCCAGAGGTGGGTTTCGGCAGGTTTTGACCAGTTCTGGAGAACTGGTAGCGGAAAGTTTGAGTAGTTCAGAGAACCGGTAGTAAAAATTCTGACTGGCCCCACCCCCATCTATTCTCTACCTCCGAAGTCCCAGCTGATCGGGAGGAAATGGGGATTTTGCAGTAACCTTCCCCTGGATTGTGGACAGAATGGAGATTTTACAGTATCCTTCCCCTGCCACGCCCACCAAGCCATGCTACGCCCACCAAGCCACATCCACAGAACCGGTAGTAAAATTTTTTGAAACCCACCACTGTTCTGTTCCCTAATCAGTGGAATGACTTTCCTCTGGAAGTTGTAGGTACTCCAACACTGGTGTTTTAAAGAAGAGATTAGACAACCATTTGCCTGAAATGGTATAGGATTTTCTGCCTAAGTAGCGTGTTGGAACTAGAAGATCTCCAAGGTCCCTTTCAACTTTGTTATTCTGTTATTCCTACTTTCATCATATGCTGTACTTCAGTATGGCTGTTATTAGGCCGGAAGCTTCCATGTTGCCATTAGGTTTTCCACTTAGGTTTTCCATTAAGCAAACAGCTTCAAGAAAGCTAAAACACATTTAAAGATGCAGCAGTAAGCAAACATGTAATTTAAAGGAAAAACTATGTATAGACTAAAAAGATTTAGGCCAAGAATTCAGTCAGTGAAACAAAACCCAGCTACAAAGGTTTTCCTAGACCAGGAGTCTCCAAACATAGCAACTTTAAGACTTGTGGGCTTCAACTCCCAGAATTGCCCAGCCAGCATCACTTAAACCTTAAACTTGCCAAGTTTGGAGACCCCTGCCCTAGACCCTTCTCTGACGGTTGGAAAGACAAAAATCCATAGTTGAATGCTTCTAGTCTATGTGAGTGTTCCCTGTATCTATGGCTGGTCTTCCATATTGTCTTTTCCTCAGGTGTTCAGGGATGAGGATGGGTCTCATTTTCAAAAGTCCAGTCATACAGAACTGTTTCCTCGTGTTTTGTTTTGTTTCGGTTTTTTTTTTTTTTGCCATTTGTGGGTACTTTATTTGCTCTTTTACATTGTATTTGAGAAAATCAATCAACCAACATTGTTTGATATTTTCCATCTTTTGTTTGGAAGGAATTATTCCCTTCTTCTGAAGAACATAGAGAAATCTGAAAAAGTAGAACGGTTGGGGAGATGGCAAGTATGCCTCATAAGAAGACTTGGGATGAAGACGTGGCAGATTTATTTCATGATTCTGAATCAGGTGAGAAAAATGTAGTTCTGTTCATTTGCTGCTTTGGAAACATTGCCCAGTCATACATGTATTCTTAATTATTTGGCCATTGTAAAAATGAGCTTCATTAGTTCAATCCTACACAAATACAATCTTCAGTTTTTTACCAGTAAAAAAAATATTAGTACAGTATTACCCACTGGAGGAAGCTTCCCTATACCTGAACAAATGCAATATATTGTGTACATATGAATACAGAAAATGTTTACTTTATTCACTGTGTAGGTATATCAAATATAAGTAGTCCTCCACTTACATTCATTTAGTGACTCTTCAAAGTTACAACGGCACTGAAAAATGTGATTTATGGCCATTTTTTCACACAACCATTACAGCATCTCTATGACCACATGATCAAAATTTGGATACTCTGGTCATTGCATCATACTTTATGATGGTTGCAGTGTCCTGAGGTCATGTGATCCCCTTTTGCGACCTTTGGACAAGCAAAGTCCATGGGGAATCCAGATTCACTTAACAACCATGTTACTAACTTAACAGATGCAATGATTTACTTAAGAACGGTGGCAAGAAAAGTCATAAAATGTGGGAAACTCACTTAACAAAAACTTTATTTAGTAACATAAATTTTAGACTCAATTGTGATTATAACTTGAGGACTATCTGTAGATGGTCCATGGATTATTCCACTCACATACTGTGCTCAAATTTGGATTCTAATCTCTCTCTCTTTCTCTCTCTCTCTCTCTCTCCCTCCCTCCCTCCCTCCCTCCCCCCCCCCCTCACACACACTTCTCTATTTAAAAAAAAAATCCCTGTAAAGCAATTAGGATTTTTAAAGCTTCCATTAATGATGATCTTCTTAAAAGTCCAATTATGGCACACATTTTTAAAGCCTTCTCTAAAAAAAAAGACCTTTCTTATTTCAAAACTGAATTGCAAAGTTATACTGGTTTATGATTACAGAATAGATTTGATTGGCTAATTGATTGACTGAATATCAGCAAGGTGAAGATAAAATGGGAAGGCGGGAAGGAGTCCCCTGATATTTTCTCAGTTGCTTTCATATTTACATTCCATAAGGCTATATCCAAGGATTCTTTTCTGCCTCTTGGTATGATATCCACCAAGAACAAACAACTTTTGATAGACACAGTTATTTAGTAGACGTGTGCAAATCATCTGAAAAAGAAGAAAATCATTAGTAATTCATTTTTCAGTGAGATATGTATCGTTCTAAACTTCTCTGATTGTTCTTTAGAATGTTTCCTTTGTTTGCACATATAATATGTGTAATGCATATCTATATTCCTTCCACAAATCCAGAAATGACGCCTTTAAAAGAAGATAATCCCCGATTGTATAAATTTTGGGATCTTAATCAGAAATACTTATTTTTGGTGGAGAACACTTTAGTGGCAGATGTGAAAACTTCTAATTCACCAGGTACAAATTAAGCTTCTTACCTTGTGCTTGAAAATTACAGTCTTCTCTTGGCCAAAATTATTGGTGGGATGCCTTGAATGGTGAAAAGCTGATGGCAGATATACAGTATCAGGACTCACTAGGCTGATGGCCACATTTAACATTATTGTATTATTAAATTTGGTTTTTAAAAAATGACTTGCTGCATATTCCATTCACTAATCCTGGGTCCTCAACATTTTTGCCCTGAGCATCAATGTACCGACAGACATAGCACCTTGCCTTCTGTGATATTTTAGGGAAAAAAGATTTAATTCAGAAACAATAAAGGGAAAGTGTTACATGCAGTATTTAAAAGGTCCTCTGGTTTTCATATAAGGTAGTAAGGTAGTCCTTACAACCATTTGTTTAGTTCAAAATTACAAGGGCACTGGAAAAAGGGACTTACACCTGTACTCACATTTGCTATCATTGCAGCATCCCCTTGGTCACATGCCAAAATCAGGCATTTTGCAATTGGCAGTTGCAGCATTCCAGGCTCATGTGATCACCCTTTGCCACTTTCCCAGCCAGTGTCCGACAAGAAAAATCAATAGGGGAAGCCAGATTTGCTAAACAACTGTGTTATTAATTTAACAACTACCCATGATTTGCTTAACAACCATGACAAAAAAGATAGTAAAATTGGTTGTAACTTGCTTACATATGGATGTAACTGTCTTGCTTAACAACATAAATTCTGGTCTCAGTTGTAATCACAAAGACTACTTGTATGTCTTAGATATTAGGGGTCCTTGATGCTCTCCGAGCTTGCTTATTTTCTTGCAGACGTTTCATTACCCAGACTAGGTAACATCATCAGTGTGAGAGGGGAATGGATTCTGAGTGTACACTGAGAGCATATGCACCAAGACAAATTCCTTGTGTGTCCAATCACACTTGGCCAATTAAAAATTCTATTCTATTCTATTCTATTCTATTCTATTCTATTCTATTCTATTCTATTCTATTCTATTCTATTCTATTCTATTCTAGAGGTTCCTATCTAGCATTCCCCTCTAGCACTGATGATGTTACCTAATCTGGGTAATGAAACATCTGCAAGAAAACAAGCAACTTCAGAGAGCACCAAGGATCCCTCATGTCAATCCTGACCTACAAATATTCTCCTTTATTAGTCTTATATATTGTTAGAATAAAGTACAGTGATTGACCTTTGCCCAATGCTCTGTTTATAAAACTGACCACCAGCCTAGAAAAGAGACAAAGCTAAACTACTGTGACAGATATCAAACTAGGAAGCTATCCAGTTTGAATTCCACAATATCAGTGTTTACTAATATATATGTTTACTAAGTGGAAATGTGAACTATTTTGGGGTGTTTTCTGTTGATGTACACAGGCTCAGCACAATTTTGACCAGTTCTCAATATGACAAAACTAGCCAAAATAGGTTGAAGACCACTAAATTACCTTCTGATGAGCTTCAGTCCCTCCCATTGCAAATCATTCCTCTTATATGAAGGCTTATATTTTTTTCTCCAGAGGCCTTTTGCTTTTATAAATCATATCCTTAATCAAATACCTGTGGTTCCTTATCCCAAACATCTCCATTAACAGAAAAAAAACCACCTATTCATTCTTTCTTAACTCCTTGACTTGTTTCTCGTTCTTTATTCTTCTCCAGAACAGTTAATTGCCATGCTTCCTAATAAATCTCTAGATACAGCACAAAAACCCATATTTATGGGCCCTCAAAATAAGAAGAGCTGCTTGTCTTGTGTGAAGTCTGGGAATGGCCAATATCAGATAGAGTTAAAAGTGAGTGTTTGACTTGCATTACAAACGTATTTTGCTTTCTCTAGGGAAATTGTCCTTTTTTATTTATCCTTTTATTCTCAGTGATATATTCTGTACTAGTATTGTATATGAGGAAGACTTCTAGAAGCTTTAGCTGATGGAATGAAATAACAAACCTAAGATAGGGCTATAACCTACCTGGTAATGATCCCCTTTCATTGGCTCATTTGTTATAGAGAATCCTAATGACACTTACTGATTGATCATATTTTATATATTTCTTGATATGTGGTTTCTCTTGACAAGATTGATGAAAGGTTTTTTTCAATTTTGGTTTTGCAAGAGAATGTAACCTTGTGGGGGGTCCTTGGTGCTCTCTGAGCTTGCTTGTTTTCGTGCAGACATTTCATTATTCTAGACTAGCACCGATGATGTTACCTAGTTTGGGTAATGAAACATCTGCAAGAAAACAAGCAAGCTCAGAGAGCACCGAGGGCCCCTCATGGATAGAACCTCTTCCTGGACACTTAGACATTAAATAAAGTTTAATGGCTGACTTGTGTTATTTATAAGTAAAAATGGAAAATATGAATTCTATCTCGATAGACCCTAGAAATCTTCTAATGGGCTGCTAATGATCATTTATGCAACTTGCAACCAGGTTGCCCTAGTGTTCCTACATAACTTCTTCTTTCTCATGGTCTCTCCCTTTTTTTCCTAGGAGAAAGATATTATGGATCTTTACAGAGATCCAAAAAACGCCAAAGCTTTCACTTTTTATAGTAAGAGCGCTGGCAACGCTGCTACCTGCTCTTTTGAATCTGCAGAGTTCCCAGGTTGGTTCCTCAGCACTTCTTCAGAAGCAAAAAAGCCTATTGGTTTGAGTCAAGAAGGAGGACCTCAGAACATCCTGTTTTACTTTGAAAGAAAATTATGAGTCAGAAACACAGTTCTGCATCTATGTTTCTAATAGACCTTGTGTATACAAATTGAAATGGAGCCAGAATATATGATTAGGCTGATGAGTAGACTTAGATAGTATCCTTCTTGCAATCAAAAAAACTTTGGAAGAACTATGTCATATTTGGGGGAAGGTGCATAGTATATATTGTATAGTCTTTATTTCTGTAGAACAATATGTTTTCAAACAGTAGGTTTGTTTGCCCATGTGAATGAAGCTGGTTGGTTGGCTGAGAGTAAGGAGAGTGATCTTTGATAATGAGATAGCAATAGCACTTAGATTTATGTACCACTTCATAGTGCTTTACAGCCCTCTCTAAGCTGTTTACAGAGTCAGCATATTGCTCCCAACAATCTGGTTCCTCATTTTACTGATCTCAGAAGGATAGAAGGCAGAGTCAACCCTGAGCTTGTCAGGATCGAACTTCTGGCTGTGGACAAAGTTACAGTACTAGTTACAGTATAGTAACATGTTATTCAAGGAGTGTCCAAACTTGGCAACTTTAAGATTGTGGATTTCAACTCCCAGAATTCCTCAGCTAATCATCAGACAAGCCTTAAAGTTGCCAAGGTTGGGCACATCTGTGTTATTTCATTCTGTTATGAGAATCAGTTTTCTCCACTACCATCTGGTCAGTGGTGAAATCTAAAAATTTTCTCTACCGGTTCTGTGGGCATGGGTTGGTGGGCGTGGCTTACTGGTCATGCGACCAGGTGGGCATGGCCAAATCGACGTCACTTCTTTGCCCTTATGACCTACAAAAAGAAGATATACCAATTATTTTATGCATTTAATACTTAAAAAAAAAGAAGATATACCAATTATTTCATGGATTTAATACTTAAATAAGAATAAACGAAGTACACAAAACAATAAGAGGTAAACAAATACTTACAAAAGAGCAATAGAAGTGCTGTCTTTGACATCACTTCTTTGCACCAATGATAATAATGACCTACAAAAAGAAGATATACCATGATATACAAATTTAACCATTTAATACTTAAATAAGAATAAAAGAAGTACACAAGACAAGAAAAAAGATACACAAATACTTACATAGAAGTGTTACTCTTTTACTTTAAGATGTTTCCACATCGTTTTTTCATTGGCACTCTCCTCACTTCCACTTTTCTTGATCTTGATTCTCGGATCATCGGCTGAGTGATGGTGTGCTCTTAACCACTTTTTCACTGCAGGTGAAAAATTTGATTTATATGCCGCCCTTCTCCGGAGACTCAGGGCGGTTTACAATGCGTTAAGCAATAGCCTTCATACTTTTGTATATTTTATACAAAGTAAGTTTATTTTGGAAGAGGTAGTCCAGTAACATTGATAATCATGAGGTTGGTTAAATTAGAAACGGTTAGGCGACTTCTGCTCTCTGAACATATGATGTTCATTTTCGAAAAACCCCTTTTCGCTTCTGCAGAACTTACAGCAATTGTTCTGACAATATCTTTAGCTTTTTTAATACTGTCAGGAATTGCATAGATCTTTGAATCTTTTAACATTTCTCCACAAAATCTCTATGGTCTTTGATGTTAATGTTGTAATTGAAAATGTCACCAAATGTGCACATTTGTTCTTTAGCTGCTGTCCATGGAACTACTACTTCTGCAAAATCCCAGTACTCTGGCACCAAAAAATGTAGAAATTGTAATTTATTCATGGTGTCTTGCAATTGGCTACCTGTTTTTAAATGTTCACACTCCATTGGTCTTTTCTGCAAATTTGTTATGATGCTTCCTAAAAGTCTTTCCTGATGAAGTCCAACAAATTGATATTTTCTACAAAGTTTATATTTTTGAAGGTTTCTGAAGTAATTAGTCCATCAACTTTTATTTCGTATGGACCCTTTCCCTTTATAAGCTGTTCAAATGCTTTCATTGATCCTCTCACCAGTTTTTCAGCCTTTATGATGTCCGTATTGCTTGCTTGCAGTGCAGTTGAAAGAAGTGAGATTTCTTCCAGAATATAAATCATCAATGCCAAATCATTTAGAAAATATTTATTTTTGGACTTCCGGTTTCATGTTGCAGCAGGAATAGCCTGGAAAGTAGTGGGCTCTGATGAGACTCGCAAAATCCAGCCAGACAAACTGCTGCCAGGAGGTTTTCAGGCCATAGCTGTCTTGAAGGGATGGTGAAGAAAGGACAGGCATTTTGTGGACTGCGGGGAATTGGCAATTTCCTTGCTGGAACAGAAACAGCTCTCTGGCAGTGGCGGCCATCTTCTGGTGGCCACCTTGAAGCTGGGACAACTGGACCCAAGATTGAGCTGCAGTGGTGTTTGGACGGAGTGCTGGAACTGGGTGAGATAGTTGCCAATCTATAATTAAAGGAAAACTTGAAAGTGGAGTTTTAAAAGAAATTTGGAGCTTGGATTAGTGACTATCTGGAACGTGGAAAAAATAAAGCACACACAGAAAATAAAAGTGGAGATTGTAATACAAAAAGCCCAAGAAGAAGTTCTGTACTTGGAAAATTGGGGAAAGCAAACATTTTAAAAGTGATTTTTGGGAGAAAATAGTATTTTGTATGAGTACCTTAAAATTCCTGGATATTTTGACAATTAGCTGGTTTTAAGAAACTATTTTGTGTGGAATGGAAATGGAGAGTGCCATCTGCTGGAGGAAAGAAAAAGTACTGTAATACTTTAGTTAAATAGACAAAAAAGAAGTAGCAACAGCTGGAAGACCTGACCTTGGCCATATAGAAGAAGATAATTTGGACACTGTGAGAACTATTAAGGAGTGATTGTGTTTTGCAATTGTTTTTTGTGTTTTCTTCCTTTCATTTCTCTCTTGGAAGACAGCCTTTTAATTGGATTTGATTATTTCTGGAGATGGATTATTAACAACTGAGGAGAATATTTTCCTTCTGAAGAAAAGAGGAATAATAGAAGAAGAAAGGAAGAAAAGAGGAGAAACAAAAAATTAAATAGACTCTAAATTTTGGCTAACTGTGAAGAGATATAAATGGGCAGGTTTTAATAATTTTTAAAATTGTTTTAAAACTGTTATAAAATGGAATTTTATGAAGAGTTATTTCTGATGTTTAAAAATATGCAAGAATCTTTAATAGGCAATAAAGAAACAGAAAATTCATTGAAATATATAGAAAAAGAAAGTGAAGAGGATTTGGAAGAGGAAAATTTAAAGGAGATACAAGAAGTTAAGAACATAGAAGAGAAATATTAAAAAATAAGAATCAGGTAGACAACATCACAGAATTTTTTTGTAATGTAGAAAGAGTAGAGAGGAAAGGAGGAACCCCCCCCCCAAAGAAACAGTTAAAAGGGAAATACTTGGAAGAGACAAGGGAAAGTTCTGGTGAAGGATGCTCAAACAGTACAACAAAAAGAGATAAAAGGAATTCAGAAGATAAAATGTAACACATATAAAAATTAATAAAAGAGAATTGAGAAGTTAGAGAGAGTCAAAAGGCTGAGCAAAAAATCATTAAGAAATGGGATTAAAAAAAGATTGAGATTGATGGATAAAGGTGAATAATGTCATTAGAAGTGAGAAATAATAATGGGGTAAATATTAGTAAATTTATATAACAAGGTAGATCAGTAAATGGGAATGGGAAAAAGATAATATTAATAATATAGGTAATATTAGTAATTTTGATAGCTTTTTAAATTAGAATGGAATTTAAAATTTTATTGTAGTTGTAAGAGAGAAGAATTATAGAGCGCACTGTGATATTATTTATGTGAAAGAATTGAACATGAAACGATAAAGAAGGATGTAAAGAGAATAATAATATTGAAATTGGAATAACAAAGTTATGAAAGTGATTATTTTGTAAAGATAAATGATTAGAACTTAATTAAGATAAAACTCAGTAGATGGGAATGTGAAAACAAGTAATTTAACAATATTATTAATTTTGATAACAATGCAAATTAGGAAGAAAATTCAAAATACTAATGATTGGGAAGGATTGGGAAGAGAGGAGAAATATAGGGTGTAAACTGAGGTTATTTATGTATAAAAATTGAAAATGATAAAGAATTATGGAAAGAGAATAATATGGCAGAAACTGAAATGATGGTGAAAAATGAGTAATTTGCAATAAAGGATTATATAAAAGAGATAAGTATTTTAAAAAGTGGGAAGATTAGAAATATATTAAAATTATGATTATGTATAAGATGTATAAGATATGACCCGGTCAACACTCTGTTCATAAAATATGTATGATGAAAGAAAAATTGTAATAAAACTTGCTTTTAAAAAAAGAAATGAAATTATTTATTTTCCAGATGGGCAGCCATACCTGAGTATTTTGCATTCGCATGAAAATGCTGATGTAGCACTAAATAGGCATGCCAGACAGCTATGGTTGCCCTTAAACTACAGGCAGCCCATCTTGGCCCAAAAACTCTACCAAACTTTACGATGTTAATGTCAAGTTCTTTGGATATTTCATCAAATTCAATTTGGTTCTTATTGGATTGCTGAAAAATAAAGCATATCTTATCAATAAATATTTTTAAATGATTTACTTGCTTTATTTCCTTTATGGCGTCATCCAAAACAAGTTGGAGGTCATGGTTCAAGCAGTGCCATATGATGATGTTTGGAAACTTTTGCTATTCTAGTACTCACTCCAGATTTTCTCCCAAGCATAACGCTGGCACCATCAGAGCAAAACGCTATTAAATTTTTTTGTAGGTAGTTCTGGTACATATATGAGAACATATTGTCTCTCCATCTTGTTTCTTCAATTCAACAAGCTCGACAAAAATTGTTGGTGGGTTCTCTGAGTCCTCAACTTTTACGAAAACTATCAAAATTAGTTTGCAGGATACCATTGAGGCTTCATAAATGATCAAACATATTTTCAGATTCTGTGCAATGATGCTGGTAAACATTTCGGTTTTAATTTCGTTTGCAATGCACTCAACTATTTTCACAACTGTTGGCCTTGAATGCAATCCTATTCCCAAATCTACTCCATTTTCAGTTTGCAATTCTATCAATTCTTCTATGCTTGAAATTGGTCTACATGCTTTTGCCAGGCTGTAAACCGTTTTGAACATCTTTCAAGTGGTGCCTAAATGCTTTTCAGACATCTTGTCCATTGCTTTTGTTATGGCATCCTGCTCCCCTTGTTTTACATTGTCTCTACAAATGATGTGTGATTTCGATGTGAAATGTTCTCTCATTGTCTTCCTTAGAGATGCCTGCTGCACTTCCTTATTTTTCCCAGATGCCTCAATCTTGAAATGCTTCCATTCTTTGGATACATGAACACTGCTCTCTATTTGTGCAAAACTACTAAAAAAGTACTGTGCGAAAATCCTGTTTCGCACAGTACTTGCAATCTAATTTCTTGTTTGAAACTTCCAACATACTTCCAACATGAAACTTCCCTTATACTTCTCTTTTTTTTATTGCAAAAGTTTTACAATTACATTTTCACCCCTTTCCCCCCCCACCTCCCCCCCCAGACTTCCCAACCTCCCTAACCCTCCCTAACCCTCCCCTCCCCCCAGACTTCCCTATAATATACTCATACTCATAAAAAACCCTTAATATAACATATATAAACTTGAACCCCTCCCTCCCCTGTATAATTTTTCTCTTTACCTCATTACATTAAAATATTTCCAATACATTATTTTCAAATAAAAGCTATTTGATACTTTCTAGTTTGATATTTGTTCTGAACATATTCTATCCACCTTTTCCATTCCCATTCATAAGTCTCTTGTGAACAATCTTTTAAGTATGCTGAAATCTTCGCCATCTCTGCAAAACTGGCCATCTTCAAAGTCCATTCTTCAATAGTGGGCAAAGCTTCATTCTTCCAATATTTACCTATCAACAATCTTGCTGCTGTTATCATATACAATATCAATTTTGTTTCACCCAATGTAAAACCCTTAACTATACCCAATAAAAACAATTGTGGAGAAAATTGAATTTTTTTCTTCAAAACATTCTGCATGACCCACCAAATTTTTATCCAAAAAGCCTTAACTTTCCTACAGGTCCACCAAACATGACAATACGTAGCATCCAAACATTCACATCTCCAACATTTTGGCTGAACATTAGGGTACATACATGACAACTTTTTGGGATCTAAATGCCATCTATAAAACATTTTATAGAAATTTTCCCTCAGGTTCTGCGACTGTAAATTTAACATTCTGAACCCAAATTTTTTCCCATGTTTCCAACATCACTGGTTCTTCAAAATTTTGTGCCCACTTAATCATACAATCTTTAACTAATTCAGTTTCTGAGTCCCTTTCTAGCAAAACATTATAAAGCCTCTTGATATGCATTGGACCTTTCTCTCTTATATGTCTAACCAATTCTTCCTCGTGCATCATAATACCAGTTTTTTGGTCCTCTTTCCATCTCAATTGTAATTGATTATATTGTAACCAAGTTAAATTAATCCCTTCGTCCAACAGTGTCTGCAATGTCTTCAGCTGCCATCTGCCCGCATCTGTAAAAAGAACCTCTTTGTATAAAAACCCCCCGAGTGACATTATATTTGTATTCCACAAAGTATGACCAAGATCCAGCCATAGCGGTATTTTGTAATCCCATTTGAGTCGGTGCTTCTTCCAAACTCTCATCAAAGAGTCTCTAAGTATATGACTTTTAAATACTTTATCAACTTTGTCATCATAAAATAAGTAAGCATGCCATCCAAATTCAAGATCAAAACTTTCTACATTCAATATTCCAGCCTTTTTACTTCCAAACCAATCACTTGTTAAAGTTAAAGCTGCTGCATCATAATATAACTGTAGGTTTGGAAGTTTAAGACCTCCTCTTTCTGGAACATCTTGCATAATTTTCAATTTCACTCTCGGCTTTTTCTCGTTCCAGACAAACTTATTGAGTCCAGTTTGCCAGACTTTCAATTGTTTATCACTTTTAAGCACCGGAATCATTTGAAACAAAAAAAGAAATCTTGGCAAAATGTTCATCTTAACTGCTGCTATTCTTCCAAGTAGAGACAGCTGCAGTTTTTTCCACGTCTCCATGTCTTTCTGCACCTCTCGCCACAACACCTCATAGTTATTTTGAAACAATTTCATGTTTGATTCTGCAACCTGAACTCCTAGATATTTTACCTTAGGTACAGTCTCAAAACCTGCCCTCCTTTCAAGCTCATGTTTACGATCTTGTGTCATGTTTTTAGCTATCATTTTAGTCTTTTTTGGATTCAGTCTAAAACCTGAAACTTTACCATAGTCTTGTATAATGTCCTTCATCAAGATTATTGATTCCATTGGTTGTGATAGGGTAACAACCAGATCATCTGCAAATGCCTTTATTCTGTAATCCTCTTGCCTAATCTTTATACCTTTCAAGATATTAGAGTCCCGTATTGTATTTAGCAAGACTTCTAGTGTTAAAATAAATAAAAGTGGGGACAACGGACATCCCTGTCTTGTTCCTTTTTCAATTTTAAACTCTGTTGTCAGACTTCCATTAATAATGATCTGTGCCTTTTGCTCTTGATAAATTGCTGAAATCGCCTGTATAAATTGATCCCCAAAGTCCATCTTTTTTAAAGTCTTTAGTAGAAAATTCCAATCCACTCTATCAAAGGCCTTCTCTGCGTCCAAAAAGACCAGCACTGCAGGGATCTGTTTATTCTTCTCAAGATATTCCAATAAATCTATTACTTGCCTTACATTGTCCTTCATGTATCTACCCTCGATAAATCCCGCTTGATCATCATGAATCACCTTTTGAATTACTGGCATCAGCCTGTTGGCTAGTACTTTCGCAAAGATTTTATAATCTGTATTCAAAAGAGATATTGGTCTATAGTTCTCTGGTTTTTTAGGACCGATTTGTTCTTTTGGTATCAAAGATATGTAAGCTGTTGTCCATGATGGGGGTATTTTACCCCCTTGCTGAATATTGCAAAATAAATCTCTAAGTTGTTCCACCATTTCAGCTTGCAAAGTTTTGTAATACACTGCGGTCAAACCATCCGTGCCAGGAGCTTTGGCTGTTTTTAACTGTTTAATTGCTACTATTATCTCCTCCTCTGTTATAGGATAATTCATTCTTTCCTTTTGTTGATCAGTAATTTTTGTAACTCTTTTATCGTTTAAATATTTTTCTATAAGTCCATTCTGCACCTCCTCTTTAGCATATAATTTAGTATAATAGTCCACAAAAGCTTCTTTAATTAATTTTTGTTGAAAGATTTCTTTCCCTCCAATATCAATACTATCAATAGTCCGTATACTTTGTTTTTTCCTCAGTGTGTAAACCAACCATCTGCCCGGTTTATTAGCGTTACAAAATGTGTTATGCTTTGCATATTGTAAGTTTGTTGCAACTTGTTCCGCCATAAGCATTTGAAATTGGTCTTTCAAAAGTTTTATAGCACTACGTATTCTTTCATCTGTTGGATTTTTAATAAGTAACTGTTCTTTATTCTTTATTTCTATTTCCAGTTCAGATCTTTTCTTTTGTCGGAACAGTCTATGTTTAGAGTTCATGTAGATAAGTACCCCTCTCATATAAGCTTTACTTGCGTCCCACACAATTTCAATTGGGGTACCTTTATTCAAATTTATTTCAAAAAATTCTTTCAAATGCTTTTTAAGTTCTGTTGTATTTTTTTCATATCTAAACAAATTCTCATTTAATCTCCAAGAACGTCTCTCAACCTTGTCCATCTCAATTTCTATCCATACTGGGCTATGGTCAGTCAAAGTTCTTGGAAAAATCTTTGTTCTTTTTGTCTTAACAAGTAAATCATCTGTCAACAAAATGAAGTCAATCCTAGAGAAGGATCTGTGTCTGTCAGAAAAAAAAGTGTAGTCCAATTCTTTTGAATTATGTATTCTCCAAACATCTTTTAGTTCCATATCTTCTTTCATGTCAAAAAAGGTCTGTGGTAATCTGATCCTAGACTTTGCCAAACTCTTTTTATCTAATTTAGAGTCGATTACTCCATTCCAGTCTCCCATAATTAAAATAGATCTGTAATCCCATTGCAATATTTTAGTATGTAACATCTTATAGAAATGGTCCTGTTGTTGATTGGGAGCATAAATTCCAATCAAAAGAATTTGGCCATTTGCTGTAAGCAATTCAATTGCTACAAACCTACCATCTTCATCTGCTTCTATAACTTTAGCTGTTAACTTTTTATTTACATAAATAACGACACCATTCTTTTTTTGCGAAGTTGAAGATATAAAATGTATTCCTAGTTTGGAGTTTATCAAATATTTTTGATCTTGAGTTGTGATATGCGTTTCTTGTAAACAAATTATATCATTATTAAATTGTTTCAAATATGTAAATAATTTCTTCCTTTTCTGTGCTGAATTCAACCCATTAACATTCCAAGATAAACACTTAAACATCATCTCCCTCTTTCTGGAGCAAAGAGCAAAATAATTGAAGGTCATCCGAAAGCTTCGATCTCGCTCCCCCCATGGCTCCAATCTCTTGTGCAGTACTCTTAACTGCCTCCTTGTCTTGTCTTTCCTGTTGTTGTT